TTGGAGGTTGCTGTGAGCTGTGATGCCATAGCACTCTACCCAGGGGGACAGCTTGAGGCTCCTGTTTCAAAAAAATAAAATAAAAAAATAAAAAGATCATATTGATGATGACAAATATTGTGGTCATTTGTGTGGCCTTGGTTCTGGTTCATCCTACATACAGAATGGCACAGGGAATGCATCTGAAGAGGAAGCCAACAAGCAATTGTGACATGAAATACTTTTTATTTTTAGTTTATTTGAGCTACACATATGCTTGTGATAGAGGTTTTATCTCTGGTTGAATCCTTGAACAATATATAGTACCTTTCTTTTTTCCTTTTCACAGCCCATTTTATTTTCTGCCTAAGTATGACCATTCATAACTCAGATCTTTTTTTTTTTTTTTGAGACAGAGTCTCACTTTGTCACCGTCAGTAGAGTCCTATGATGTCACAGCTCACAGTAACTTCAAACTGTCGGACTTAAGCGGTCCTCTTGCCTCAGCCTCCTAAGTAGCTGGGACTATAGGAGCCCACCACAACACCCAGCTATTTTTTTGTTGTTGTTATAATTGTCATTTGTTTGTTTAGCAGGCCTGGGCTGGATTTGAACTAGCCAGCCCCAGTGTATGTGGCTGGTGCCCTGAGCAAGGGCGCTGAGCCCCTAACTCAGATCTTAATAAATAGAAATACATTCAGATTAACTTTGGCCTTAATTTAATATACTTGTTGGCAAGCATGTTTGTAACAGAGAGTGGGGAAAGCTCTATCACACTGAATATGTTGTAAACTTTACATACTTAGGCTTGGTTTATTTCTCCCTTTTCCTAAATCAATTAGTACTGACTATCATTTATTTCCCTGTCTCATGTCTCTCCCTTCCATTCTGGGGCAGTTTTAGCTATTTGAGATTGTGGACCATCAATTTTGGACTTTAGAGAGTGATTCCGACTCAAATACCCTGTTTTATCAGAAATTTTGGGTTTTCTTGCTCTTACCTGGAGAAATGACCATCTGCCAAGTTTATACAGTATTTGTTTTTGACCCACAGAATATAGCACATTCATTGTACAAACTCTGAAAGACTAACAACAACAAAAACAAGAAGCTACTGAGAAGCTTAGTAACTGCTGTTTCTTTTTCGAGAGAGTCTCACTATGTCACCCCTGGTAGAGTGCTGTAATATCACAGCTCACAGCAACCTCAAACTCTTGGGCTTAAGCAATTCTTTTCCCCTCAGCCTCCCAAGTAGCTGGGACTACAGGTGCCTGCCTCAACGCCTGACTATTTTTTGTTGTAGCTGTCATTGTTGTCTAGCTGGCCTGAACCAGGTTTGAACCCACCACCCTCGGAGTATGTGGGTGGCGCTGTAACCACTGTGCTATGGGCGCCAAGCCGTAATTGCTGTTTCTGAACACAGTGTTGAATCTTCCAAGCACATCCAGTGTCTGTCAGCTTCTAACTGGCATACGCAGGCTTCTGTGTGATTGAAGAATTTTCAAACAAGCTTTATACCTTTCAGGAAAAATTCCTTGGGCTTCGATGTTTATACCTGCCAGGAAATTGGTCTTCAAGATGTTGAAGCTACAATTATTTTATGATTGCACACTTCCCTTGACCTGCTTCTTTTTATTCTATCACTGTTTATTCTGCTCTTTTATTTTATAGCCATACTTATAATGCTCTTGATTTGTTGATAACA